TTTACATAATAAAATTTAGCATTCACCACAACAAAATTCAAGCATTGTCATAATAAAATTCAACATTTGCATCACATGTTTACATAATAAAATTTAGCATTCACCACAACAAAATTCAAGCATTGTCATAATAAAATTCAGCATTTGCATCACATGTTTACATAATAAAATTCAACATTCCCCACAACATAATTCAAGCATTTGTCATCATAAAATTCAGCATGGTATCCACAATTCAAATACCAAAGAAAAAAAGGAAGGAAAGCTAGAATGTCACTACTACAACAATACTTTTTTTCCAGCAGAATTTGCACTATCATTTCAAATAGAAAAACAAGAGAAAGATGACAATAAAATTCAGCAAAAGCACAAAGGTACGGCAGAGCACATACACCATTTTGGCAAAACATTATTTTGGCATCTTAGAAAGCAATAATAGACATGGCCATGGATAAAGTCTTAACAGCGAATCACACCAAGCAAACCCTAATTGCCACACCATAAAATCAGCAGAAGCAGAGGAAAGAGGGACGTGAAGAAAATCCTTAATAACTACAACATTCAGAAAACCCTAGGCAGCCCCAAACAATTCATACACACTGATCTAGCAGCCACAACACAAACACACAAAATTCCATTTTTATTTTAAGTTCAAAAAAGACATCAAGGTCGATATACAACAGTAAGCAGGAAGAATACAAAGTACCTGAAAACACATCTTTAGTAAAACTTATTTTTCTTCCCTCTCATTGCTAACTTTGCTTACACTTCTGATTATTCCAATATGCTATGAACATCTACTTGCCTTACTGTTATCATGTGCCTCCATATGTCTTGCTGCATACCATATTCTTTCCAATTACTTTCTTCTTTACGAGCGATTCAAAGCGAGTGCAATTTCGAGAGACAAAAAAAGAAAAAATCGTGAGAGTGAGATGAATCCGAAAAAGTGAGACGAATTAAGATGATGAGAAGTGAGAAGGCACAGACCGAGAGAAAAGCGTGATCGATTTTCCGTTTCAGAAAGATGAACGTTTGAACGTTGATTTTCTTTTGCCGTGAATTTTTTTCTTGCTGAAGCAATTTGTTTTCATCATGTTCGTTCTTTCTTTTCTCTCTCTTTGAGCGTGTGTTTGAAAGGAAAAAGATAGTCGTGTTTCTTACATCATCATCCCTAGGTCTATTTTTGTTTGAAAACCAAACCGGGTCAAAACTGGATCCAACTCGGTCCACCTCTTCCCAACTTGGAGCTCCCCTTTTGGGCTATGCTCCTGCTGAACCATCTTGTTTTTCTTCAGCCCTTTTCTTTTTTTTATTGATGTTAAGTTTATTTTTTTTCTTTTGGGATAATAATTTTTTTTCTAAAAGTTAAAAGAATATATTGGGGTTTTTCTTTCTTAAAAAAAAGGAGATAATAAAATTCTAATATTTATTTTGTTTAAACCTTTTTTTTATTTCTCTTCATTAAAAGAATATAAATTTTATTTTAGATGTTTTATTTAGATTTTGTTCATTTCAAAAATATTTTTTAGAATTAATTCTTTACTCTTGTTTTGACATGTTCAATAATTTTTAGTGTATTCTTGCTCATTGCATGTTAGTTGCATGGATGTTTATGTGTTTTATTATGTATTTTATTTTTGCATAATGACTTTAATTATTAATAATAGAAAAGAAGAAAAACATTATAAAAATAAAAAAGACAAAAAATATTTAATTTTGATTTTTGGGCTTAAAAGTTTGAGGCATGAGAGATTTTGTAAGAAACTATTAGACTTCGTGTGTGACCTAGGCTTGACATGAACCATTATTAGAGACTTGTGATTTTAAATCGCAAAATGGTTACCGTTACATCACCCTAAAACCATTGGACTTTTATTGTTGTTATTCATTATTTAGTTTAGAACACTTTACACACACACGACTTCCTCTTGGGTTACCTTACAACGAGCTACTTTATTTCTTGCGTTGATCATCCCTTGTATTTTTTTTCACGTATCCCTCCCCCATTTGATGTATCTTCCTTACCTTACTTTCCTTTTGTTCGTTTTCGCTAGTTAGCTATCATTAGGAGCTAGTATCGACCAAACTCTAAAGCATTCTTGATCCATATATCAAGTCATACCCCAACTTGTAAGTCGATTGCTTCGTGCATCGTCATCAATCTTATCCACATCACATCAAACATTTTCTTAATAAATAGTAAAACCCTTGATCCAACGTCAAGTGACATTTTTCTCAATAAAATTCAAAATACAATTAGGATTGCACGCCACGAGCCTTAAGTGGTGGAGAAGAAGTGAGAATGGAGCTTCCCAACACTCACTCCTAGTATTTTGAACACAAGACGATCGACTTGGTAGTTCGAAATATTCACCTCTACTCATAGTCTTTAGTGCAATCCTAATAAAAAACAACTTCTTTTCAAAACCCTAAAAGCAACATCAACTCATCAAACTTCCTTTTTGCGCCTTAGGACATCACCCCGAAAATATTTTTTTCAAGGTATAAAATCAACCAACACACAATCCTTTTTCAAGCCTCCTAACTACGGAGCTCTAATTTCTCACAATGACGATACGTAGGTACAAAGGTCCCAATCCTTGGTGATCATCCTAATAAAAAACCAACCCTCTTTCCCTTTAGCAAGTAAACCTTTTATATTAGAATATATGTTCAAGCTTAGACAACTTAGATGGTTTCCATCGAGTACAATGAATGCGAGAGGATGCTAATACCTTCTCATCACATAACCGACTTCCGAACCCAAATTTGGTTGTGAAACCATCTTACACCTTTATCGATATTTTATTTAATCATTTATAACCTTTTTCTAATAATTCATTAATAGCTAAAAAAACAAAAACAAAAATTAATAATTCATAAATGATTTTGTAACTTATGTTAAAATTATTTAATAACAACATCTATCATATAAGAACACAAGATACTCTAATTAATACAATAACCATTTGTTTTGATTGATCAAAATCATCTTATCCTACTGTTTTTAGAAGGCTGATTGACTATATCGTCACAGATAATATATATATATATATATATATATATATATATATATATATATATATATATATATATATATATATATATATATATATATATATATATATATATATATATATATATATATATATATATATATATATATATATATATTTTCATATTTAAATTATATGTCACAATATTAGTTAAAAATATTTGTGACTAATATTTCATTGAAAAAACTGATAAAAGAAAGAAATAGAGCACATGGTTTTTTTTCGAATAAAATTAAAATTATTTTTTTTATTTTTATTATAGTAATAAATTTATTGAATAATTAATATAATAACTCAAAATAATAGTTTTTTTTTCTTACGATAGAGACTAGAGATTATAATAAACACTATAATTTTAATCGAATTTTTTTTATTAAACAATATGATTGATCTCCAAATTAATTGATCTTCAAAAATAAATAAATAGTGACAATATTCACTTATCGTAAAAGAAGTGTTGAAGCATTGGGGTCCATGATAAAAGTAGTTTGCAAATATTAGAGACCTTATACTGAAATTTCTGACTCGTTGCTCTCACAAAGACAAGCAAGTATGAAATCCTTTTGCAGACAAATATGCCTACTGCTGTGCTGTTAACAATGCTTTTGAATCTTAATGCCACGCCACTGCTTCTTTGACTGAATTTCTGCGTTGTAATTTCTTTGTTATGTCTTTATCCCTTGTAAGAAAATTAAACTAGCTTTCTAAAACAATAAAATCAATAAGGTTTTGAGAGAATTTGAGCATGATTCTGTTCTCAGTTAGTAAAAGAGTTTGAATTTGATTTTCTGTAATCTCCCCTTTTGAAAGAACAATCCCATTATGCCAGCCATTGGCATCGCTGGATGAAACACAACCCACACTTTGTTCTTGTAGTCATATTCTCATTGCTGGAAGCATACTTTTTATCATTTTATTCAAAATTAACTCATTCGACCGACTAACTAACTATTTCAGACTATCAATTTTACCGTTCACTTTCAAATATCATTTAAAATCTGAACAAAATTTTGTATCGACTTATATTACTGGGTGGTGTATGACGAGTAATAGTATCACCAATGCCAACTCAACACTCTCAAGTAGATTCCATTTTTCAAATGGAATAAAGACATGGTGGCCCCATTAACTTGATAAGGTTGCCCTTGGAATTGTGTTAGTGCTTGTTACTTTTTTACAGATCCCAATGTTAATAACCTAAAATATTGGTCTCTGTCTTAGTGTTTTCCTTTCACTGTTTTCAATAAAATCCTTGACCGGGTATCTCCTAACAAGTTTTACTTGTACTGCATTTTGCTTAATAGTTTAGTTTTTTTTTTCTTTTCTTCTTTTATTAATTTTCTTATCAGAAAAGACTATAATAGAAGGTAAAACCTAGTTTCAAAAAATTTAATATATGCACATGATTGAATTTAAATTCAAAATATTTGATTAAACTAAAAAAAAAAGTTTATCATCTCATCCAAATATTCTAGTAGATAGTTTAATATTATAGCAAGAAAAGTACTCCTTAGAACATATCATAACCCTTATTCTGTATGTATTGTGTAAAATCTCATTGAAATTATTATCAATGGGAACACCCCAAGTAAACAAAAGCTGCACTTTCATTGGGACATGAGAGTGCTATGTCCCTTGATGCCCCAAGATCTCACTTTCTCTCATTACAAAGCAATCACAGTACTCATCAATGAGTAAAGAGCTCAAAGAATATCTTTAATTTTCTTCTTTATTAAAGCAAAAGTTCCCCTCTTCCCTCTTTTTAAATTCGAAAAAATATTCCTATTTATTTCATCTCCAATTTACTCTCTTCACACCAAAATATACTTGAGTAATTCAGTTACTCTAAATTCACCTTAGTCTACACTCAAAGAACAACAACCTCATCCTCAAATACCAAACAATTTTCCTTATTCCCCACAAAAACAAAGTTTTGTTAACATGTCTTTACAAGAACAACCAATGCAGCAGCAACAACAGCAACAACAGCAGCAGCCGGTTCAAGTTTATCCAACAACTGTCACATATCTGTCACCACCTGAACCTGACCAACATTCATCAAATGGATCATTTGGGTCAGTATTTGTTGTTTTAGCCATCATAATAATAATCTCTGCAGTTGCTTGTTGTCTTGGAAGGTTTTGCAGCCGGCGCGGCAATGGAAAAAGCCACAGTCAGAAACATGTTAAACCACAGAAACAGCAGCAGAAGCAGAACCAACACTCACGTCCAAAAGAGGTTGATATTGAATTTGGATTTGACAAAAAAATTGCAGCATCTAAGCCTATGAATAATGGACATGGAGGAGGAGGAGTCAGGGTGCAGAAGCCAGTTTCTCATGGTCATCATGATATGAAGAGTTTTGAAATAAAGCTCGGTCCTCCTCCTCAAGGAAAGTTTAGGCAAGGTGCATAATGAGCATTGTTATGTAGACACGGTTCATTTTCTTAATTATTGCAACCATTTCACCAATGTAACATTTTGTTGCTATTTGTTTTCTCTGATTTTCTGTCTCTTAGTTTCAAGATGCAAGATGAAATGTATAATGATGTTTTCTACTTTTTTTTGCATGCTAATGTTTTATTATAAGATGGAAAAAAATTATTTTTATGTTCTCTGCAATATGGATCTGTGGAAGTGAATACTATGTAAACATAGAGAAATGAATAAATTTTAAATTGATGGATAGATATATAGTATTCTCGAACTTTAAAAATTCAAGATTTTATTAAACAATATTTCTGGTGGTATATTGAAAAAAAAATTGAATTAAAAAATAAAGATAATAAGAAAACGATAAGTCATTTTGCAAAATATGTATATAGCAATGTGGACATGAGAATTTACATTGTATTTTTAGACTTAAAATTTGCAATGTTCGCGGACTTTTTCCGCCTCGCCCTCACTTTTTTATAAGATGGACTTATATTTTAGACTCACGTTCTTAACTATGATCACCCTATTCCATTCTATTTTTTTTGGACTTTTGCGGAGAAGGCATAAACGGGATGCCACAATCACTTCAATTGATAAATAACTATCCATACATAAAAGTAAAATAATAAATAAATAAATAAATTTAAAAAAAGCAATACAAAAATAGTAAGAAGGTGAAATCAACACTAATTCAACTAAGATAAAAATGCATAAATCAACAATATTTATTTGGACGTTATTATCATAGATCGAATCCTAATATTTAGGATCGTCTGTCAAAATGTTTTAGTGAATATTACTGCTTCGTTTTTAAAAAAATCATTTGTTTTTCTTTTTCTCCTTTTAAAATTCATCCCAAACACCACCATTAAAGATTTGTATTAACAAAACACTTAATATGATATTTTCTCATATTCATGCATATTTTAATTATGTAAAAACATATTTCATTTAGTATTTTTTTTTATTCATTTTAAGTGTGTTTGTTTTTAATTTGTTTATGTTTTTGTAGTACTTCAAAAAGATTCTAAAAAAAGTATGGAAAGATCGATCCAAACAAAAAATCATCATAACCAAACAAATTGTATGATATTTTACTATAGAAATCATGATGACAAAGTGAGGAGAGTACTCATACATAAAAAATAGAAGAAAAAGAAGAGGAATTACAAAAGAGAGTAAAAATGCCCCACTCGGCAAAACAATTGCGACACTATTTTGAGCGTGAAAAGAACAAAATCAACACATGAGGCAAACGTGTTGCACCAAAGGAAAAATATGGTGCTAACACAATGAAAAAGCAATGTGTTAACTCCAATTCACTGGCTATTACGCCAGCAAAATCACCAATAGTGGAGTGCACCTAACAGGAAGAACACACACAATTCTAAATATTTCTATATATTGTAAAATGCGTTTAATCATTAAGATTCTGAATTTTATAATCAAAGATGCACATTCCGAAGCATTGTAGCAGAGGAGAAGACAATGCATGATTAGAGATTCATCCCTAATTGTTTGTAAGATTTTATTATTTTCTTTCTAGTGTATTGGTTATTAATTCCTTAAAGATGAAGGATTAGTTCCCTTAAATTAATTTGTCCTCAATCCATTTAGATTTTATTTATATAATGATGGACTTTTTATAGTTGTTCAATAGTATTTTATGCTTAATGTTTTTTCCTATCTACAAAAATAGGGAGATTGATATAGATAGCAATTGAGAACTAACCATTTTTTAATTGGAATTAAATATTTATGGGAGGTTGTTTATGACCACTAACATACAACATACTCGGTTGTAACATAGGTACATCTGATAAAACTGTCATTGTTTATGATATCTTCTAAGACATTGAGAGATTATAATCAAACGAAATGGGTTACGCGACGAGAAATTATGCGTAACTATTTTATAAAATAGTTGTGATATAGGAAGATTTTGTGTTAGACGATAAGTTTTGATCTAAAGGAAAGGTGAATAGAACACAAATTTAAAATTAAGCTTTGAGCGAAAATGGTTTTTAAAAATTTTATGGCACAACGGAAACAATCCGAATTAAACCGTCTAATCGAACAACTATCGAAAAACTCGAATATGTGTAAAGGTACACAAGTGTATGAAAAGGAAAACAAACTGTCCAACAACAATCAATCACAAACAATTGAATGATAGGTTATACCTAAAGCTTATCCCCAATGATCAAAACATACAAAAATACAATAAAGCAATTTATCGAACACTTTGTGTGCAGTCGATATCATTTGAAAATATACTTTGTTTTGTTGATCTTAAAACCAATTACAATCAAACGGATTAAGATTCTATCAACAAAATCTAATTCAAATAAAAAATCAAACGGATAAAAAATGATTCTCAAATGAATTGATCATACGAACAATGAATTCAATAACTTGCAAATCAAAAACGAGAGAGAGAGAGAGAGAGAGAGAGAGAGAGAGAGAGAGAGAGAGAGAGAGAGAGAGAGAGAGAGAGAGAGATGAAGGTGTGAGAAAACACAAGAAATTGGGGTTTGAATTGGGTTTTCAAAAATGAAAGCTTTTTGTGAAACTCAAACAAAGATCACAAATAGACTAATCAATAAAGAAAGACACACGATATATCCAGGTTCACTTGAAAACTATAAAGTTAATCCAGTCCACCCGTCAAGGTGATTTCGCCTTATACACAAGGACTTAATCCACTATAATCAACATATTACAATGCACTAGCAACCGCTGGTGACTAACAACAAAGGCAACTGTCTCTTCTTAAGAATTCTGACGCAACTGGTCCCTTAAGAAATTACAATATGCACAAGCAACCGCTGGTGACTAACAACACATGCAACCATCTCTTCTTAAGGATTCAGACATAACCAGTCCCTTAAGGAGTTACAAACAACAGTTTGAACAAAGATGTTTAAAATGAAATTGCTTATGAACAAGCAGATATATAGACACTATTAATAGCTCAAATGTCTTAAAGACACTAATACAGTATGAACAATATTTTTCTTTGTATTGTGGTGCTTTAATACTGTAGCTTCAGTTCTTCATAGATTGCTTTCAATAAAAGTGTAACCTTTGTATTAATTATTGTAAAGCTTTTTAATTTCTTCAAGTAATCAAGTCCTTATATAGCCAGAAAAATATTCGTTGGAAGGCAGATCAGGAATATCCTTTAGGTAGCTGGCAACTTGGAATAGTGGCGTTACGTAGGGATGAAAGTCGTACATAAAAGTTGTCCATTGTACCACAAAATCTGGTAGTGGAATGGTAGTGGAATGAGACGTTAAAACGTATTATGTAGACGTTTAAGCTTCTATTATTTACATCAGAGGCTTCTGAATAGAGATGATTGAAGCATAAGTAGAAGAGTTGATTAGTAGGTCTTCAGAGTCTTGAGTCTTCAGAGTGTTCAGAACTTGTTCACCAGAACCTTGTCTTCATAACTATAAACACTCAGTCTTTAGAACCTTTGGTCACTAGTAACTTAAGTCTTCAGAGTCTTCAGAACATCGTCCATTCGAACTTTTTCTTCAGAGTCTTCAGCACTTATTCTTCAGAAACTCAAGTCTCCAGAGTCTTTAGAACTTCCTCAACAGAGCATCGTCTTCAGAGTCTTCAGCACTTAGTCTTCAGAAGATGATGACTTCAGAAGTTTGAAAGCCTTCAGAAGTAAAGTATCAGAGTCATGATCAGAAGCAAAAACCAAGAGAATATTGCAACATCAACATATTGTCTTCTTAGAATCTTTCTGAATGAGAGTAGATCAGAAGCAAACTTGCTTCTTGTAGCACAAAAGCGACTTTGGTCAGATTAGAGTAATCGTTGAATATGATCTCTATCAGAGTTAGAACCTATTTTTTAATTCTTTAGAAAAACAAACGTTAGAGTACCAAAATTGTTCTCTCACAAATACCACTTTTTTATTATCAAAACTTAGAGATATCTTGAAGAACCAAATCTTTTTCTAAGAAGAGAAGGATTTGTTTAGGCGGTTCTCCAATCAACCTCACTATTAGTACGTCTGCCCTCAATTCGAATTGAGATACCTAAAATTAACATTACTTTGCAAATAATGTATATACAAGAGATGAATAACCCTAACCCTACAAACCCTATGGTTTGTTATCGATTCTACCACCTCCAAAACTCTTGATCAAGTCACCAACAATGCTACTTCAGTTCACCAATTCTTGCTACTTTCTTGGAAGGTACCTCATTGTCCCAAGGCTTTCACACAGTCAAATTAATCTCAAGTGCACACTTGTTGAACCCAAGATTTACCAGCACGATCCACCGTCTCACGCTACTTTCTTGCAAGGCACCCCTTGTCCCAAGACTTTCACTCGATCAGATCTGAATTGCATAATCTTGTCCAAAACCTTCAAATCCGCAACGATCTTGAAGGAAAACCTCAACTCGGTTTTCTTATTTGAAATCCTGAAAGTTCTCAACCTAATATTCTTGGTATAACAACCTAACTGGATGTTATCAACCCTAATCTAGATGGTCACCCAATCAAAAAATGATTATGTGTATACATAGAAGAGAGGTTGAAGATGATGAGAATGCTTTGAGATCTCGATTTCGTATAATTTTTACACTAGAAACTTTACTAGTAAATGATGCATGTATCAAGTATTTATAAGTATGCAAGTTTAAAAGTAAAAGAAATGCAAAAGAATGAAAAAAAATTATGAATTTTTGAAAGAATGCATCGCATGTGTCGACTTATGAAAGCAAATGTGCAGACCTATCAAGGTCTTAGGTTGTTTGTTTTAGCCAACATAATAATAATCTCTGTTGTTGGTTGTTGTCTTGGAAGGTTTTACAGCCGCCGCGGCAACGAAAAAAGCTACTGTCAGAAACATGTTAAACCACATAAACAACAACAGAAGCAGAACCAACACTCACGATCAAAAGAAGTTGATATTTAATTTGGATTTGACAAAAAAATTGCAGCTTCTAAG